ATGTACAAATGCGCTTTACACAATTGATGTGTGTATGGATTGGGATAACAGTTGTATGAGCCCCTAATAAAATGTTAAAAAAAAAAAAGTTATGAGGTACAAGAAAGGCAGTCATCAGAAGGAAATTTACAACTTTAATTAACTAATTTAAAAAGAAAGAAATATTTAAAATAAATCTTAACTTTATAAGTTAAGGACCTAAAAAACAAGAGAAAGTTAAATTAAAAGCCACTGGCTAAATTACATAACAAAGATTAGAGCAGAGAAAAGTGAAATAGAAAAACTGTAGAATGAAATTAAAAGTTGGTTGTTTGAAATGATCAATAAAATAAATAAATCTTTAGCTAAATTGGAAATTATTTTACTGCTGGGAGCATTCCATTGGTCGTTCAGAAATAAAAAGGAACAAAAGAGAATACTATGAATTTTTATTATATGCAAATAAATTAGATAATAGTTGTAATGAGCAAACTCCTAGAAACACATAAACTACCTACATTAATTAAGAAAAAAATAAAAATTTTAAACAGACTCATAACAAGTGAAGAAATTGAATCAATAATTAAAAAGCTCCCACCAAGGAAAAGTTCTAAGCTAGATGGTTTCACTGCAGAAGTCTATTAAACATTTAAAGAAGAATTGACACCAGTCCTTCTCAAACTTCTCCATAAAACAGAAGAGAAAGGAAAATCTCCTAAATCATTTAGAAATGTAAAAGTTAATCTTCAACTTTATATGAAATTTCAAGGGGTCCCAAATAGACTACGCAATCTTAAAAAAGCACAAGAAAATAGGATCAAACTCTGGTTTTAAAATATATTATAACCAAACCCACTGTCATCAAGTCAATTTTGACACACAGAGACCCCATATAGGGTTTCTTGAGGCTATAAATATTTATGATAGCAAATTGCCTCATATTTCTCCAACGGAGTAGTTGATGGGTTTGAGCCACCAACCCTGTAGTTAGCAGTCCAACACTTACTAAACAGTGTCACCAAGTCTTCTTAAAAATATTCTATACAGCTGCCACACTGAGGCAAGGCACTGGGGGAGTGCAGTGGAACAGCAAGGGAATGGAGCAGCCAGGTCCCCAGGGAATGATGAAGGTGGACTATGGGGTCAGGGCGTGGTGCCCCAACAGACTGGACTGGAGAACACTCCTAAAGGCCAGCGATCCTTGAACTAACTACAAGCTTTTCTT